GCTGTGTACATTAATGCAGTCATGGGGTACAACGTGCTGGTTTTATATACCATTTGAAATATTTTCATCAAGCTGGTTAACACAGTTTCTCTTTTAAGTAATTTTTTACCTCTCTTCCCCCGCCACCCTCCCCTTCTTATTTTCCAAAGTCCATTATACCACTTGACGACCGTATTTGCACTGCTGAGCTCTCACTTACAAGTGAGAACATGTGGTATTTGTTTTTCCATTCCCGAGATACTTCATTTAGTTTAATGGTCTTCATTTCCATCCAAGTTGCTGCAAAGGCAGTACTCCATTCCTTTTCACAGTTGAGTAGTAGTCATGATGTATATATGTACATTGTATTTTTTTTATCCACTTATCAGTTGATGAGTGCTTAGGTTGATTCCATATCTTTGCAACTGTGACTTGTGCTTTGGAATACATTTTGGTGCAAGTGTCATTTTGATATAATGACTTCTTTTCCTTTCGGAAGATACCCAGTAGTAGGATCGCTGGATTGAATGGTAAGCCTACTTTTAATTCTCTGAGGAATCTCCATACTGTTTTCGGTAGTGGTTGTACTGATTTACAGTCCCATCAACAATGTATAAGCATCCCCTTTTCACTGTTTCTGTGCCAAAATCTATTGTTTCTTGTCTTACTAATCATGGCCGTTCTGACAGGGATAAGATGGCGTCTTATTGTGGTTTTATTTTGCATTTCCCTGATGAATAATGACGTTTAGTGTTTTTTCATCATTGGCCATTTGCGTAGCATCTTTTGAAAAAACATCTGTTCATTTCTTTTGTCTACTTTTTAATTGGGGTTGTTTTTTCCTGCTGATTTGTTGAAGTTCTTTATAGATTCTGGGTATTACTCATTTGTCAGATGTATAGTTTGCAATCATTTTCTCCCATTCTGTAGATTGTCTGTTTGCTCAGCTGATTATTTCCCTTTGTTGTGCAGAAACTTTAGCTTAATTAAGTCTGATTTATTTGTTTTTGTTGTTACTATATTTGCTTTTGGGGTCTTAGTCATAAATTTTTTTCCTGTACTGATATCCAGAAGGGGTTTTCTTATGTTTTCTGCTAGAATTTTTATGGTTTTAGTTCTTACATTCAAGTTTTTAATACATCTTGAATTAATTTTTTTGTATGGTGAGACAGAGGGATCCAGTTTCATTTTTTTGCATTTGTCTACACAGTATCCCAGTGTCCCAGTATCTCATTTATTGAATTAGGTGTCCTTTACCCTGTGTATGTTTTTGTTTGATTTGTTAAAAATCAGTTGCAGCTGTGTGGTTTTATTTCTGGGTTCTCTATTCTGTTTCATTGATCTGTGTGTTTACTTTATACCAATACCATGCTGTTTGGGTTACTATAGCCTTCTACCTTAATTTGAAGTCTCGTAGTGTGATGCCTTCAGATTTGTTTAGGATTACTCTGGGCATTGGGTTTTTTTTTTTGGTTCCATATGTGATATAGGATTTTTTGTTGTTGTTGTTCTGTAAAAAACGATGTTGGTATTTTGATGGGAATTGCACTGACTCTATAAATCACTTTACACTTGCTAATCTTTATTTGGATTTTTTTCTTTGTTGTTGTTTTCTTGCTATTGAGATGTTTGAGCTCCATGTACATTCTAGATATGCATCTTCCTTTGGATGAGGAGTTTGTAAATATTTTCTTCGATTGTATAGGTTGTCTTTTCACTCTGGATTTTTCCTTTGCTGTGTGGAAAGATTTGAGTTTGAGATAATCCCATTTATTTATTTTTGCTTTTGTTGCTTGTGCTTTTGAGGTCTTATTCATAGTTTGTTTTCTCAGACCAAGCGATGTCCTGGAACATTTTCCGTTTCTTTCTAGTAGTTTTATCTTTTTGAATCTTAACATTTAGGTCTTTGATCCATTTTGAGTTGGTATTTTCTGTATAGGACGACAGGTGGTAGTAGTCTACTTTCTTCTTTTAAATGGATACCCAGTTTCCCCAGCACCAGTTATTGAAGATACTCTCCTTTCCTCAGTGAATATTCTTGACTCCTTTGTCAAAAGTCAATTGGTTGTAAATATGTGGGTTAACTTCTGGCTTCTTTGTTCTGTTCTATTGATCTATGTCTTTTTTAAATGTTATTATTGTGTTGTTTTGGTTACTACAGATTTGTTGTATGTTTTAAGATTTGCTAGTGTGATGCCTCCAGCTTTGTTCTTTTTTACTCAGGATTGCTTTGGCTTTTGAGGGTCTTTTGTGGTTCCCTACAAATTTTAAGATTTTGTTTCTATTTCTGTGAAGAATGTCTTTGGTGGTTTGATGAGGATTGCATTGAATCTCTAGATTGCTTTGGGTAGTGTTGACATTTTAACGATAATAGTTCTTCCTATCTATGAGCATGAGATGTCTTTCCCTTTGGGTTTGTATCCTTAGTGTTGGGTGGAGATTTTTCACTTGCTTTGTTAAATTTATTCCTATGGGGTTTTTAAAATAGCTATTGTAAATAGGGTAGCCTTCTTGATTTCTTTTTCAGCTAGTTTGATGTTCAAGTATAGAAATACTACTTATTTTTGTATGCTAATTTTGTAATCCTGCAATTTCAGTGAATTATCTATCAGTTCCTTTTTTTTTTTTTGAGACAGTCTCACTTTGTTGCCCCCAGTAGAGTGCCCTGGCATCATTCCTTACAGCAACCGCTTACTCTTGGGCTCAGGCAATTCTCTTGCCTCAGCCTCTTGAGTAGGTGGGACTACAGGCACCCACCACAACACCTGGCTATTTTTAGAGATGGGGTCTTGCTCTAGCTCAGGCTCATCTGGAACTGGTAAGTTCAGGTGATCCTCCCCCACCTCAGCCTTCCAGAGTGCTGGGATTATTGGCGTGAGCCACTGCACCTGGCCTATCTATCAGTTCTAAGAGTTTTTTCATAGAGTCATTAGATTTTTCTCCATATAAGATCACATTATCTGAAGACAGGGACAATTTGACATCCTCATTTCCACTTTGGATGCTCTTTATTTCATCCTCTCGCCTAACTTCTCTGGCTAAAATGTCCAGCTCTATGTTGAATTAGAGTGGTAAAAGAGGACAGCCTTATCTTGTTCTGGTTCTTTAACAGCTTTATTGAGACATAACTGATATTCAATAAACCACACATATTTAAAATATACAATTTGAAGTGTTGACATATATATATATATATACTCCTGAAACCATGGCCACAATTAATAAATATATTCATCACTCCCTGAAGTTTCTTTCAATCCTTTATAATCCCTCTTTCCTGTTCCTCCTTACTGTCCTCATCCAGGCAGTCGCCGATCTGTTTTCCATCACTATATTTGGTTTGTTTTCTCTAGAATTTTAAGTAAATGGGTTTATATTATATGCACTCTTTTTTGGGGAAGGGCAAAATGACTTCTTTCACTTAGTATAATTATTTTGAGATTCATTCATGTTGCATATATTATATTAATAGCTTATTATTTCATTAATTAGCATTATAATTCATATATTGACATGTTGATGGATTTTGGGCTATTTTTAGT